ATGCTATTTTTCTCGCCTTCAAATTTAACAAAGATGTCATTCTTCATCTCTTCTAAATCTTTGGCTCGATCCCTTTCTCTTTGCATTTCATTCATGATCTCGCGGTGTTCAGCCTTGTGTTTTATAATTCGCTCTCTTCTGTCAACCTCGAAATCTTCCATTTTTTGCTTTCCTTTTTCCAGGCTTTTGAGTAGACGGCTATTCTTTTCTTTCAGATCTTCAACTCGTCTTTTCTCAATGTTCAATTCTTTGGTCATCTGTACCGTCGATTGGCTGGGTCCTGATGCTTTTCGGGATTTGTATAACTCCTGGTAATTTTTCTGTAAGGCTCTGTACTCATCCTCACCTTTTTCTTTATCTCTTCTCAACATTGCACATTGTGATGAATGAAAGTCAATGTCTACCCCCAACATAGCTTTATCTTGTCTCATTTGCTCTAACTCTTTCGACCAGCCATCTCTTTCTGCTTCAAACTCAGCTCTCAAGATTTCAATCTCTGATGGAACCACCTTAATGCGATCTTCCATATAAATATCCTTATTTTGATCTGGTAGAGGAACATTTTCGTTTTTTCTGACAGATCTCCAATTTTCATAATCAGGAGTTAGCATTTCTTTTGCTGCTTTAGCTCGGATACAAAAAGTTGTTTTCCAAGCTGTAACGGCTTCCATGATATTTCTTTTATAATTTTTGCTGTGGAATGCAAACTCAGATGACTGTAGTCCAGCAGTGACAGGTACAAATTGACGACCTTCATACTGTCTTATAACCAGAAGTGGAGCATATCCAATTCCTCCCCATAATCCGAGCAGCATTATCCAGTTGTAATCACCACATCTGTAAAAGAATTCCCTTTGGATTTGCCAAGGGGCGCGCCAAACAACATCATTACTTTGCAGATTTCGAAAGGCATTAATCCACATATCTTTATTAATTTCTTTCGGCCATTCCTGCTCTAGAAATTCTTTTAATGGTGAGTAATCCGTATTGAAGCGTCGGTATGAAACCTTTTCCGTCCTCCAGAAATGACTACGGATCCAAACATATAACAACTGGGTACACCCTGAGAATCGTCTACCTCCTAACCTTCTGCAAGCATTTAACGATCTGAAGGTCTCTGCTAGGATGGCAGAAACAGGATTAATCTTCTTCGGTAGCTGTTCAAACAAGTCTACCACTGTAGCTTCAACATATCCCAATACTTTTGGGAAGATGACCATACCATATATAACCAGGGCAAATAGATCGAATCGTACTTTAATATCTGGATGACTCTGAATAAGTTCTTTGATGTTGGTCCAAGCAATGCCTTCGCTTTCGCCTTTTTGTTTTATACGGGATGCTACCCATTCTTCTCGTACCCCGGTAATCTTTGCTAATTTAACTCGAAAGGGTTGAGTTTTAATTGACTTTGAATATATTCGATTCTCCAAAGCACCTTCAAGATGTAACAAAGTTGTATATTCTTCAATAGTAGGGACCAAATCCTCTTTATTGAAAGTGAAGCAATTGTACCCTGGATTCCAGAATTGAACCAGGGCTCTGAGTAATTCATCATCAACTTCAACATAGAGCAAATATGGGATGTCTCCGTAAGTCTGATAAAACTGCAATTTTTTGTTTGAATCCCAACTTTCCCAAATGCTTCGCAAATCTTGCATATCATTTCTTTTTAGTGAAACTGAAGCATAACTGGCCAAGTCAGACACATAATCATCCTGCAGACTGTCTCCTTCTTGTCTTTGTAAATCCTCAGCCCACTGTCTTACTTCTGAGTTTAGAATTACTTGACTTGAACACTTTTTATCCATAGATGAAGGCTTTCCAATGAGACAATTAACACAAGGATCAATGTCTTTTATCCTGTATGATGCAATGCAAACAGAAAAATAAAGAACACCCAAAAAGAAAATAAATTAGTTTACATAATAAAGAAATTTAATAATAACATTTACATAAATTATTTATTTAAACATGCTTTTCTGAATTTAAATAATTTAAATAAACATGTAATTTAAACAATAAATAAATTAACAGGAAAGACAGAATTCATTTCTCCTGTGTGTACACCTATTTTGGACAAAATTTTGGCATGACTTCGGATTGGAAGAGTTTCTAAGGTTTTTTATATGCAGGGCTTCAGATCTAGAAGTAAAGGTACTCGAATTGTCCATGTTAGTGCCTCCTTAGGCTGCTAACCCTCAATCCTAGTCTATTACAGACTAAAGTGGATCGAGTTCAATTCGAGGGGATACATTTCTCTATGCCTGACATGGAGAATAAATTCTCACGAAGACATAGAGCATATGAACCCCAAAAGTTACTTGCTAGGTCTGACACGGAGAATAAATTCTCACGAAGACGTCGCTTTCACTTCCACTTAAAAGGGACAACTCAATTATAGAGCTTTATGTAATGCAATGCAAGTGTTGTGTGTGAGGAGAAATGTTCAAACCTTTGACAGAAAAATAAATAATGAAATAAAATACTTGTAAATAAAATAAAACATATAAATATTATAAAAATAATAAATAAATAAAAAATTTGAAAAGAAAGAATTAAAAATTAAATATATAAATTTTTAATTTTTAACTAATAGAGACGATTTATAATTAATTTTTAAAAGTTTGACCAGTCCCCAGCGGAGTCGCCAAGCTGTCGTAACCGGTTTTCGTCCAGGCACGAAAAAATTTATTTGGCGGGAAAAGTGATGTGAATAAATGATTTTAAAAATAATTTGGGAGTCGCCATCGGCCTTTTGGGTCAGGTAGGTCGAATACCTAAAAATTATTTTTTTTTAAAAGAGTTTTAAGAAAACACCAATAAAAAAATAAACTGATCTGCATTTATAACCAAAAATTCATTCTTTTTAATAATAAAAAGGGATTCGTGGTCGGTTACGTTTAGGGAAGGATTAGCACCCCTACAACGCCCAAAATTGGTACTTTTTAATTATAGATTGTCTCTATTATTAAAATTTTAAAAATTCAAAAATATATTTAATTTATAATTCTATTATTTCAAAATTAAAAAATATTTATTTATTTAAAAATATCAGAAAAGAACTTCTAGGTGCCTTAAGACAGCTCTTTTCTTTGATATTGATAAATATTAATTTAAATAATATTGTTTAATTTTAAAATATCAGAATAGGACATCCAGTTGTATTAAGACTGTCCTTTTCTTCGATATTAAAAATAAATATTTAAAAATTACTATTTATTATATATTTATGAATATAAAAATATTTAACAATATAATAAAATAAAAATACTACTAAAACAATATATTTAAAAACAATAAAATAAATGAAGACATATAAAATAAATAACTAAATTATAATAAAAATAAAACTAAATCTAATTCCTAATTAATTGAAAATATAGGGATTAAATATTTTATTTTCTAATTTAATAATTTAGTGGCCAAAATAAAATTATCTAAAATTCGAATTTTATAATAGAATAAATTAAAAATATGAACTAGGGATTAAAAAATTATTTATTAAAATTAAGGGATTAAATCTGTCATTTATCCTAAATATATTATTTTAATAAAAAGGACTAAAATGAATAAAATTAAAATTCAAAGACTGAATTAAAATTATTATAAATTCAGTTTAGTGACCAAAATATAAAATTTACAAGTTGGGAGGACTACGGACGGGATTTAACTATTTTGTAATTACGCGCATAGTCCTTCCGAAACGACGTCGTTCGGGAAGGACTATATATGTCCAAAAACCGGCTGGCCCGAAGGGCCAGCTTCATTTCATCATTTCTGTTCTCTCTCTAACTGAGAGAGAACAAATTTCTCTCTGCCCTCTCTCTAGCTTCCCTCATCGGAGGGAAGCCGGTCACCGGACGGCAACCGTCTGCCGCCGTGACCATCACCGCCGGCCACCGCATCCGGTGGCCGGAAAAAAAGATTTTTACACTAATATATAGATCGGACCGTCCTAAGGACGGTTCCGGTGTTATTTCTTCCTAAAAGGCTCCAAATCGGAGCGAATCTACAAAAGTACCTTCGTTGTTTCGAAGGTTCCGGTGAGATCTGGTAGTCGGGGCTTCCTCGGTAAGTTCTTTTCTTCCTTTTTCCTTCTTTTTTTTTTGTTTCTGCTTATGGGATATTTGGCTGAGATCGTTGGTTAGTATTTTTTTTCTGTTTCTCTGTTTTTTTTCTTTCTCCGGTTCTGTCTCTCTTTTTTTCTTTTCTGTCCTCCTCCTTTTTTTTTTCAGGTGGGGTGATGGCTTTATAGCCATCACCGGTGTTCGTCTCAGACCGGTCCGAAAGAGGTTCTTCGGTGAGTCACCGGACTTCCAGTGGTGACTCACCATTTTGGGTAAGACGTGTGCGGCTGGAGTGGGTGTGGCGGTGAAGGCTTCTGGAACCAGCAGCGGCGGCGCTGGGACGTGTCCCTAGGGTATAGATACCCTAGGGTTTCCTCTGGCAAATGGTGGACCGTTGGATCAAACCAGATCCAACGGCTGGAATTGAAGATGGCGGCTGAGGATGATACAAACCCTAAATTGGGTTTAGGGTTTACTGTAGGATTTTGGGTCTGGGCCACTGTTTGTAATTGGGCTTCCATTTGGGCTTGTAATATTTATTTATATATGTATTTAATATATTTAATAATAATAATAATAATAATAATAACAATAATAATAATAATAATGATAATAATAATAATAATAATAATAATAATAATATGGGTAAAAAATTAGTATCTTCACCGATAATCCAACAATACCTAAGAAAATGAAGGTAATGACATTCCCGATAATATACCCAAAAAATCCACTATTAAAATCTCACATTCCCCAACCAAACACACCTTATAGTAAATTTTTGAAAAACATGGGGAGTGAATCGGATTAAAACACTTTGAAGATGGAATGGTAAATATTGTAATATTGAAAACTTATAGGGGCCAAAGAGTAAATATGTTGGTTCTGTATAAGTAGGTTTGCGATGGCGAACGAGGGAGCGCTCGAAGTCATCCGAACATCTTCAAGCTCCTTTGTCAAAAAGTTCCAACGAAAACCAGAAAACGATAACAAAGAAATGGAGGCTTTCAACATCCCGGCGACGCCGTCATTGATGAAGGAGTTCCTCCGCCAGACGGGAGGCGTCGCCGTTGTCGATGGCGGACTAGCGACGGAGCTGGAACGCCACGGTGCTGACCTCAACGATCCTCTCTGGAGTGCCAAATGCCTCCTCACTTCTCCTCACCTTATTCGCTCTGTAATTTTTCTCTTCTCTTAATCTTTCAAAATTACTTTTTGAATCTTGATTTTTTTAGTTACGCCTCGTATACAGTTCAGTGTTGTTTATAATAGGAATTTGGAAGTTAGGAACTGGTTTTTCGTGCATGCAAGTATGTTTTCATTTTGGTGGAAGGAAGAGAAATGGTTGGTGGAGGTCTTTGGGAATTTTAACTGTTGCGCTACTGGCGTTATAATCTATTTTCACACGGAACTGACTTATGCTCTGACTATAGAAAATGACGAGAAAAAAAAACTTGTCCCGTTTTGGTATCATGGTATGGATGCAGTGTAGTGTATATATATCTATATATGCATGTGTATAACACTGGACCACAGTGTGGAGGTTGGCGAGTCAGATCAGTGGCATTTAAGGGTTATTGGTCACGATTCAGTTTTGAGTTTTACTGTTTTCTATATAAATTTTACTGATGCAAAGAGGTAGATGTTATGAGCAAGTGCTTAAGTTTGGGCTGCCATATTGCTTATTTTAATATTGTGATGAAAGAATTGACTTTTTTTAGTTTAAAGTCAGTAGTCCATGTCTGCACTCAATGGCTGTCCCTTGTTCCCATATGTAATGGGGTAAGGGGAGGTAAGATAGTAGGCTGCCCTCAACACTAGGTTGAGAGCAGCTTCCGTAGGAACCTCCAAATTATGAAATACCCTTCATGGGACTCGATCCCACTACCTCAAGGTTAAGAACCTTGTGCTCGACCAACTGAGCTGGATGGTCATTTCAAGATAAATCATAAAAAGGGAAAACAGTAAACAGGATTCTAGGATTTGGATTTTTGAAAGCTTAGTTCTCTTCTAGGCTTATTAACCCATGTAGGAGGGTTCATTTTACTTGACACAATTTCGAGATAATTATACTATCCAAGTATGCAAGGTCCAAATAAACAAGATTAATGCCATAATGTATTGATGATTAAAGTTGAGGAGCTGAACAAGCAAGCCATATGATTGCTTCTCTGTTTTGCGCTTGTTAAGTTGATTGGTTTGTCTGGCCAGATTATATCATCCATGATTTTTGTGAACATTCATGTCACTTTGCAGCATCTGTTAAAAGAATAATGGTATTAAATCGACCGCATGTGATGTTTAGAGTGCTTTTCTAGATCATTTACCAAACTATTATGAGCAGGTACACCTTGACTACCTCGAAGCTGGAGCAGATATTATTATCACAGCATCCTATCAGGTATCAGATATAACATTTCTCCCGCCCTCTCTCTCTGTTGCCAAACTGATGCGAATTTATGTATCTTTAACAGGCCACGATTCAGGGGTTCGAAGCGAAAGGCTTTTCCAGAGAACAAAGTGAATCATTGCTTAAAAAAAGTGTGGAAACCGCCCTTGAGGCAAGGCAAATGTATTATGAAAGATGTAGTAAAAGTTCTAGTGATGGAATTGGTGACGGTAAGATACTAAAAAAGCGTCCAATCTTAGTTGCAGCGTCTGTAGGCAGCTATGGGGCTTATTTGGCTGATGGTTCTGAGTACAGGTGTGTCAATAATCTCTATGCAGATGTCCTTAAGTAATGTTTAATCCAAATCTAATCTTGTTGCTTTTAGGCTATCTGCCACAATCTGTTATCTTTTTGTGTAAAATGAAAATCATTAAATTTAGTACTTATTTACATGTCTCCTTTTTTGTTGATATACTCTCTATACCAGTGGGTACTATGGTGATGCAGTGACGGTGGAAGTTTTGAAAGAATTTCATCGCAGAAGGGTTCAGGTCCTGGCAGGAGCAGGTCCTGACCTAATAGCTTTTGAAACAATTCCAAACAAGATAGAAGCTCAGGTATAACTGAATATTTGATTCTGAATGAAACCTTTTTCCTTGAGATAAAATTAAGAAGCGTATGAGGAACAAAAACAAAATATTGAATTTCATGTCTTGCATGCCCTAAATGTTCCCTGAATTGGCTTCTAAGGTGTTATTGATCCAGTGTTCTATGCTTACTTTGTTGTTTAATTTGTTTCTTCTTAATATTAAGATTTTGGAGGCTCTTCATACAGGCTTATGCGTGTTCTATGCTTACTTTGTTGTTTAATTTGTTTCTTCTTAATATTAAGATTTTGGAGGCTCTTCATACAGGCTTATGCTGAACTCTTAGAGGAAGAACACTTAAAGATTCCTGCATGGTTTACTTTCAACTCAAAAGATGGTGTCAATGTAGTTAGCGGTGATTCTTTGCTTCAGTGTACATCAATTGCTGAATCCTGCAAACAAGTTGTTGCTGTTGGAATCAACTGCACGCCTCCTAGATTTATTCATGATCTGATTTTAGCAATCAAGAAGGTTTTGGTTTTTCTATCCTCTTAGTTTGTTGATAACCATTCTGGATTCAAAATTATACTCTTTTCTCACCTTTTTGTTGCATATGGTTTAGCAACTAATTGGTTCTCTCCTTTTCTTTTACTTTGTTTCTTTTTTTCATTGTGTGAGGAATTTGTTCCTGTAATGCTGTAGTCTAGGAATTTTGATGGATTTGATCAACTTATTTGGTTAATAATTTGTGCAGGTCACTACCAAACCAATTGTTATTTATCCCAATAGTGGTGAGAGGTATGATGCTGATCGGAAGGAATGGGTGGTAAGTTTATATTCTTTTTTCTCTCTAGACGATACATGAAATATCCCCTCTATGAAAAAACGGTCTGAAATGTGTAGGAACACCTTATTTGAACCAAAAGGGTCTCATTAAAGAAAATATACCCAGTACAACTACAATTTGTGAGTTGTTTTCCAACATGATATCAAGAAAAACCTATTGATAGCTAATTTGTTTGCTATGTTTGGTTTCTGATGGCAAGATAGGTGAAATATTAATTTTCAAGCCTAATTTGTGTCTTGATATTTCTGCAAACTTCAAACTACACTTCATAAAATTCTATTTTCATTTGGCTGTAAGGAAATTGAAGGACCTAAGTATAAAGGAAATTGAAAAATAATTGGAAAAAGAAAAGGAAGCCGAAGTATACTGATTTTTCAGTAATTCATTTATTATAGTGTTAAAGTGGATCCTTAATGGTCTGCATCATTCTTTTGTTGATAGCAAAATACAGGAGTCAAGGATGAAGATTTCATCTCATACGTAAACAAATGGTGTGAGGTTGGGGCTTCGCTTGTAGGAGGTTGTTGTAGAACTACTCCAAGTACTATCAAAGCCATCTACAGGGCACTTTCCCATGGATCTCCTGCATCATCCAAGCAGAAATTAGCAACTTGATTACACATGCAGCCGGGATGCCAAGATGCATTTTTAAGTTTCTTACTTCTTTCCCACTTTTGAGTCCGAAGACAATGCCTCCCACAAGCTTTGCCTAACATCTTTGGGTCTCCCACTTTCTGTTATAGCAGCCAGTATTTTCGTTTCACGGTGAGCATGCATCTTGTATCTGTTTCGGGTTTTGGGAACTATAAGCTATAAGGGATCTGACTAACAGACAATCCCTCTTGTTTCTTGAGTTCTTATTTTGGTTCTAATTGTAGTTTTGTCAAAGGTTAAATACTTATGTATTGGCCCGGCCTTCGGAAGGTGTTTAGCATGTACATTATAAAGTACTCGTATCGTTCGGAGAATTTCATTTGTAGGAATCTGATTTTCATATTTGATATGCTAGAAAGTGGTCATTTTCTTGAGAATATAATGATCACAAGCATTGGTCGTTGCTTTTGGCTGAAACCTGCCTAACATCCAACGTGCTGAAATGCATGTATGAGTGCAGAGAAAAGGTAAGTGGTTAATTTCTCTTTAAACCTACCGTTTAGTAAGCAGCTATGGATTTTAGTGCCTTTTGTGAACCCTATTGGGAAATTGCTTTTCACAAGAGTGAATCCGATTTCTTTTGAGTAGATAGATTTTGAAGGAAGAACATGGTGCTGCATATCACAATGCTGTTGAGTTAGTTGTCAGTGATGTTGACTGCTACAAATGAACTCATGTGGCCATCACAAAAGTAGTCTAAAGAAAATCCCTCATTTTTTCTTTGTCGATGAGCTGCTAACTATTAGTTAGTCTAGCGGGAAGAAGTAGGGGTGTTCAAATTTTCGAACTAATTCGGTTAATCTACCGAATCAAATTAGTTCGGTTAATTCGGTCAGCCACTGAATTAGTTCTGTCGGTTAACGGTTAAGAAATTTTTTAGAATTCAGTTAACGGTTAATTCGGTTCAAAATCGGTTAATTAACCGAAATTAAATATTAAATATATTATATATAACATATGGGTTCAGTCCAAACCATTTAAAACTCAATTAATAATTTAAGATCCAATAACTTTTAAACCTAAATTAATATTAATTAATTAAAAATTTTATATAAAATTTTTATTTGATAATTATATATTATTTAAATTAATTGTAAACTGTTTTTTTAATTAAAAATATTAAAAATATTATATATAACATATGAGTTCAACCCAAACCATTTAAAACCCAATTAATAATTTAAGATCCAATAACTTTTAAATTTAAATTAATATTAATTAATTAAAAAAATTATATAAAATTTTTATTTTATAATTATATATTATTTAAATTAATTAGAAACTGTTTTTTAATTAAAAATATTTAATTTTTATATAAATTATAAAATTTTAAAAAATTTCAGTTAATTCAAAAATTAATCGAATTAACCAAAATTTATTCGGTTAATATTTTCGAAAAAAAAGTTCGGTTCGCTTAACAGTTAAAGAAAAAAAAGTTCGGTTAATTCGGTTAATGATAATTCGGTTCAGTCGGCCACCGAATTAACCGAATGAACAGCCCTAGGAGGAAGCATTAACTATCGATTAATCTAGTATGATGAGATATTAAGTCCGTTAAGTAAGATTAAAGTTCAAATTCCAATATTGTCTATAAAGAAATTTGAGTGATCATCTCATAATGACTTACGATATCCAATTCAGATTAATGTTAATAAATTAAATGTTAATAATTATAAGAAAAATTAAAGACCAAAGAATAAAAGGTAAAAACAATAACATGAGGGAAGCATTAAAGTAGATGTACTCTAAACAGAAAATGGTTGCTTACTAAAAACCTGTGTGGGTTTATATATAAGGTTGCTTAAGAGATTGCCACTTTTCCTAACCCCATGGAACCCCGTGCCCATTTAAAAAAAAAACCATTTTCTTTTTAACTTAATTATATTGGATCTTGATTAAATTTGATGTTAGTGATAGCTACTAATGAATCAAAGAGGGTTTTGGCCCCAAAATTAGCATTTATCCAACTATTTGAAGTTTGTGTTTTTTTGGGTAAACTATGTATTTAGTCGTCCAATTGTCACTTTGGTTCCCTTTTGATCACTTAACTATTGTTATTTTTCAAAATCATCATTAAGGTTATGTTTTGGTTTCATTTTAGTCACCTATCATTAAAAAATTATCGCTGATGTTAATGTGTCAAAATAAGATGCTGCCAAGTCATGATTGAAAAAACTAAAAAATGTCATGTCAGTAGTTCTATTAATTTTTTAACGGTGATTTATTAAAATGAAATGAGAACATAATATTAGTGATGATTTTGAAAAAAAATAGTTGAACGATTAAAACAAAATTAAAAGAATAGTTGGATGACTAAATACATAATTTATCCTTTTTTCAAGAGAAAAAGAGGTTAAGAAAAAAGGCATTTGGGCCGGATTTCCTATAGCTTTCATGAGCTAATGCTGTGTTGGGTTCAATTAACATTATGGTTTTTCAAAACAAGATAATTAAGTTTCCTAAGAATAATCAAAAGAGAGACAAACAAATGACTGATCTCAGTCTTGTTCATTAGATGGCAATCATGAAAAACAAAAGCCTTTCAGCCCCAACGACTTATAATTCGGGACCAAATGGATACATCAATGCTGCTGGTGGAACCATTACCTTCACCATTGGCTTACACTAACGTAGACATTGTTTGAATCTGATTTCCTCCATTTGAATTTGTTTTAATTTGATCCTTCCATACGAACGCTTTTACACAGGAGCGGATCATGGATGGGTATGGGTCGTAATCTGTCAGGTTTTCGGCTAATCTGATCCGAACCGAAAAACATACACTTGAAACTTGACTCGGCCTGAGTTTAGAGAGATTTCATCAAATCCAAAATTGGCTCGTCTTTTGACATAAAACCTAACATGGATTTGATCCAACACAAATATATTTATAATTTTTAAAAATTTTGCTCGATAGAATAGGGGATCTAATTGAAAAAAATAATAATATAGAGAGATGTATTATTGCAATTATCATTAAATATACAAAGTATAATTATATTATTTTTTGGTCAGAACGAGTATTTTTCACCCTATAACCCAAGTCAGCCCGAACTTATCATCTAAAAAATCTAATCTGATCCAACTCGAATCCAAACTTTTATTTAAAAAACCCGACCTAATAGAATCGGGTCGGGTCGAAACACATTGGGTTCAAGTCTCGTTTCCATCCGTAGGATGGATGCACTAAGCTACGTATGGAGTAATTGCATGTAGGGATAGACATGAGTCAAGTTTCCAGGCGACTCACCCTAAAATATACATCCTCTATTTGAAACCCGATTTTATCATAATTCAGGGTGACTTCATTCGACCCGTCTTTTAGATAAAATTTAAACTCGTATGACCTGATCCGAAATAAATATATTTTATAAAAAAATATTATTTTTATTCAATAAAAATAGATATCTAATTGAAAAATAATATAGAGATGCTATTATTATAATCATATCTACATATATAAGCTATAATTACATTAATTTTTTGGGTTGGATCGAGTATTTTTTATCCTAAATCCAAACTCGACCTAAACCCATCTTTTTTTTAAAAAAAAATCTGACTCGAAATCTGTCATAGTCGAGTCTCATGTCTACCCCTAATTGCACACCCATTAATACTTTAAAAAGTCTAATAAAATTTAGTTTAGTGTATCAAGGGAGAAGAAAAAAGAAGAAATCTACGTACTTATATAAAGAAAGGATATTAAAATTTTGGATATTATTTTTTAATTTCTAGATCCATTAATATATTTTTATATCACATTTTGAAAAGAAAATTAATCTGTTGTGGACTTCATTGATTTAATCCCAATTAGAGCACCTTAATTAAAATAAAATAAAGTTAAAGTACACATATACATATAAAATATTGAGTTGTGTGATTGCTAAGAACTTGGAAAATGGAGAAATAATGGTTGGTTGTCCCTTGTTCCCATATTTAATGGGGTAAGGGGAGGTAAGATAGTAGGCTGCCTCCAACATCAGGTTGAGAGCAGCTTCCGTAGAAGACCTCCGAATTATGAAATGCCCTCCGTGGGACTCGATCCCACGACCTCAAGGTTAAGAACCTTGTGCTCTACCAACTGAGCTAGATAGTCATCTCAAAAATGGAGAAATAATGGGTTCGCTTAATGAAGAGGACACAATTTCCGACACGTAGCATGTGTTTCCTAAAGATTATTCAATTGAACAAATCAGACACCAAGAATTCACTTTTGTTCAAATCATAACAATACACAAAACCCTAGGATTCATGGGGCTTGTTGAACCAAAGTTTAAACCAGCCTTTTAATGCCCTAACAAGATCCTACTTACAAAGTTAACAATGTTTTAATCTTTTAATAAACTACGTATTTAGTCACGTAATTATTAATTTTATTTTGTTTATCTAATTATTTTTTCTCAAAATCAATACTAAAGTTATGTTTCGATATTTTTATTCATTGAAAGCTTTTTTTATTAATCTATGTAGTATTTGTTCGAAGATAACTCTCAACATCTTGACATTGAACACTCATATTTTTAACATTCTAGGTGTTCGAACCTAAAATTTTAAAGAACAATAACAATTCATTTATCATAGAGACCACTTCATCCGTGCTATTTATTGGAAGCCTAGTTTCTAAAAAAGCCAACCATTGAAGATCCACCTTTTCCTTTGGCACAAAAGCTTCCCTATTGCCCTATTCACCTATAATCAATGGATTACATCTGAAGCTCCAAAAACCCACGCTTCCAATAACAGCCTTCATCTTCACAAAAGTCCCCGTCAAAAACTGACCAAAAGCATGTTAATAACCCAGTTTTGGCCTTGAAATGTCGTGTAAATTAGGCTTGAGTGTTGAAACAAATTTGTTTCTAAGCTCATTTTTGAAGATTATTAAAACAGGAGATGTCAGAAAGGGAAGCAGAGTCTCCGTGTTCATACATAATGAGACCTTTATATGTATACAAGGCGCGTTGTATTAGATTAAAGATCAAAGGCTAAGCTTGAAGAGATAGAGAGAGATCTCCATTGATATAGTTGGTTGAGGCCTTGGATTTTCGAGGGTGTTAAAGAAAGGGCTCCTCTTGCACTTTATTCTCTTCAAAACTCGATACTTTGCACTGTACCTTGAAACGAGGTTTTTTTGTTTCAACAGACCAGACCAGACCAGACCATCCCTTTTATCTCCTTTTACGTGTCCTACATTGTCTTGTTCTAAACCTCAGAATCTCTTATTCAGTTGTTGTCTTTCTCTATATCTCTGTGGTTTCTTTTTCTCCCTTTAAGAGTTCTTCATACCAGCAAAGACCGGGTATTTTTGTTTTTCACCTGGTTCAAAATACAACAGTAATGCAGGTTAAAAACCTGTGCTTTCTCTTCATTACTTGAGGGAACTGAGTACTACCCTTCATTTCATTTCACCCATCATTCAAAGTTACAACATTTTCTCCCATTATTTTCAGCAAAAACTTGGAATTTTACACCTCAAGTCATTGCTTGAGCCAAAAGAAGCAGCTTTTCATAAAATTATTTGCTTTCAAATCTGGTTAGGGCCATATGAAAGGTGTGTGAAGCAATGAGAGGTGGGAACAACAAGAACAACAAGGTCTTTTTCTTTTGAAACCAGCAACCCCCCCCCCCAATCATTTTGATTCCTTTTGTCATTTTAATGTATGAGATTGATTGCTGATTGTATTGTGTTTGTTTGTTTTTCCATGATGAAGCTTTCATGGCCCAAGACATTGGTCAAGAAATGGTTCAATATCAAGAGTAAAGCTGAGGACTTTCATGCTGATGATGTTGATTATAGAGGTGATTTTGATTGATTTCAGATTCTTCTAGACCCTTGACACTTGCATTAAAATGTGTTTTTGGTACTTGGTACTTTGGCGTTTGCAGCTCAAGATCTGTTTAGTATTTGTTTTCTTCCTCTCTCTCTTTTTCTTCTGAAATCCATAATCTTTTTTTTTATGGTGTTTGAATATGTGAAATTGATACCCTTCTGGTAAACAGAGAGAATTGCAGCAGCTTTAACAACTGTTTGGCTCTTTATTTTCAGGTGTTGATGAAGATTGGAGACACCGTTTTTCAGAGAAGGAGCCATGCACCATCAAGAAAAGTAGAACAGGTTTGGATTTTGGACCACAATTCTCTTTTTATCTCTTCCCCATCTCACAGAACTTCAAATCAACTTACCTTGGATGGTAGAGAGATCGAGCAGCAGTAATTCGGATCTAGCTGGGCGAGGTAAAGTCGATCTCAATGGTTCACAGTTTACGGATGTGCATGATTATAGGTATGTCTTGTGTTGTGTTCTTAGTTGCTTTCTGGTGTTCTACTTCTGTTAAGTTTTGTTGAATAGGATTTGGTTTTGCAGGATTTTTGTAGCTACATGGAATGTGGCTGGAAAATCTCCTCCTAGTTATTTGAATCTTGAAGATTGGCTTCATGCTTCTCCTCCTGCTGACATTTATGTTCTCGGGTATGTCGAACCGATTCAGATTTATTTCGTATTTCAGTTCTTTTAAACAAATGGATTTTATGATGTTTGATAGATGCCTGTTGGATCTTTTTGATTTGGCCTTGTAGTTTTCAAGAAATTGTCCCTTTGAATGCCGGTAATGTGTTGGGAACCGAAGACAATGGACCGGCTAGGAAATGGCTAGCTCTCATTAGGAAGACACTGAATAGTCTTCCTGGCAGCAGCGGTTGTTGCCACACGCCTTCGCCGATCCCCGATCCACTTGTGGAACTGGATTCCGACTTTGAAGGATCGACGAGGCAGAAACATTCGTCTTTCTTTCACCGCCGATCGTTTCAATCCTTGGGCCGTAGCATGAGAATGGATAACGACATGGCAATGCTGCAACCCCATCTCGACCGCCGCTTCAGTGTCTGCGATCGTGTTATATTTGGACATAGGCCTAGTGAGTATGACCCTAATGTCAAATGGGGTTCCTCTGATGATGAAAACGGACAGGGGGATTCTCCGTGGAATGCTCAATATTTGCAATATTCTCCAATGTCATATGGTGGATCTTTTGCCATGGAGGAAACCAGTAGGCAGATGGGGCATTCAAGGTATTGTTTGGTTGCCAGCAAGCAAATGGTAGGGATATTTCTAACTGTGTGGGTGAAGAGTGATCTTCGAGACGATGTTCGCAACATGAAAGTGTCCTGTGTTGGCAGAGGATTGATGGGATATCTCGGAAACAAGGTACGTTTTTTCCTTTCTCCGATTCGAGCTATTTTCTTGAACTAGAAAATAAGGAGGCATACTTATTTCTTGAGTTTCCCAGGGATCCATTTCTATTAGCATGTCTTTGCATCAAACCAGCATTTGCTTCGTCTGTAGTCATTTAACATCCGGGCAAAAAGAGGGCGATGAGCTGCGAAGAAACTCCGATGTCATGGAGATCCTAAGGAAGACAAGGTTTCCCAGGGTTCACGGTATCAGAGACGAGAATTCTCCCCAAACAATTCTAGAGCATGAGTAAGCCTTCATATGTCAAATTATTACATTATTTTCCCAGAAATGATAGCCTTTAGAATTTTTGTTTTAGCCTTTTCCCTTTGGCTTTAAAATGCTATTGTTGAATGTATTGGCGCAGTCGTATTATATGGCTCGGGGATTTGAATTATCGGATTGCTCTGTCGTACCGTTCTGCGAAAGCTCTGGTCGAGATGCGCAATTGGAAGGCACTGTTAGAGAATGACCAGGCTTGTTCTTATCCTTCGTCAATTGATTCATTATCTGCTCTTAACTCCTCAAATAATCTGAAAAGAATCGATTGTTTTACAGCTTCGGATAGAGCAGAGGCGAGGCCGTGTTTTCGAAGGATGGAGTGAAGGAAAAATATATTTCCCTCCTACATACAAATACTCTAATAATTCAGACAGATATGCAGGAGAGGATAGGCACCCAAGGGAGAAGCGAAGGACCCCCGCATGGTACTATCTCGTTATTTCCTCGACGTTTTATGTCTATAGGAAAAATCACCACATGGTTCTTTTACTATCGATCTAATAGTATCATAATATTATGCAACCTGATATTTTTGAAGGTGCGATCGTATACTGTGGTATGGAAGAGGCCTATATCAGCTATCTTATGTTCGTGGGGAGTCTAAGTTCTCTGATCATAGGCCTGTCTACAGTGTATTTTCAGCCGAGATTGAGTCTATTAACCTCAGCCGAATGAGGACAGGCATGAGTTGTTCCAGTGCCAGGATCGAGGTTGAAGAGCTGTTGCCACAGGCACACGGATATACCGAACTCGGTTTCTTTTGAGTTAATCTTTAACAATCCATGTTTCCATGCGGTAACTTACAGAACAAGCAACAGGATTAAGTGCACAATTCGTGCAAGGTAATCCGTCTATACCGGGAACTAAATGAATAGATCCTTTTGCTGTTGCTGTTGCTGATTGATTCCTGCAAATCACATAACTTAAATATATTCATCTTCAGCTGTTAACAGGATATCAAGTCAACTTCGAGTTGTAAAATAGGACTCGTCAACCCAAATAACTCGAAATTTTTTTTACTCGACTCAATCGACCGCCCACCCCTAAGTGTGATTTGCAGGAACCGTGCTCTCTCACAACCAATAAGGTAATTTTACTCGTTTAATGTGTGCCTTGTCCCGACTCTCGATTGGCCTTGTTAGTAGGAAGAAAAGGATATGCACCTATAGCTTTTATGATACAGACTTCTTCGGTGAATCATATGAAATTTTATGCACCTATAGCTTTCAGTTGTTCACCCTAACAAGTAACATGCAGATCTTTAATTTTGGCTCGTAAAATTCGGGTTTTCGGGAATTATAACCGTAAATCAAGTCATTTTTCCCTGTTACTTGAGAGAAGTCTCTTGCATGTTCTTATTCTTATCAAATTGACTGGTCCCCTACTTTTCACAGGTGGTCACTGCCCTATGACAAAACCATACCAACCATGGTGGCATTAAAGACACGACGTCGCCCACACTCCGAAAACAAGGTCGGTCCTTCTGTTTTTATGGTTTCGGATGTAATTCCGAACCCCCTAAATCCATTGTCTCTAACTTTCAACACGACTCTTCCCTGTTGCAACAGGTTCGGCATTGGCTCCTAACACTTGAAAAACACATCCATGGCTTGACATAACTTACAAGACAAGTTGTTTGTCTTTGTTCTTGTCCAAATTCCATAAACACAAAATTACAGCAGAGAAAGATAATTTTTTTTTTAACCGAGAGAATGGGGAATCAATTGTCAATTCCTCCATGTACTAGTTTTGGAAAATTAAAGCCTGGAGATGTGATGCATACTCATTACCAGTGGATAAAAACAGAAACTTCTCTGTTTATTGTAAAAAAACTTCTTTTTACTGTTGTTGCTAATCATTTTTTTTACTGTGAAGATGTGACCTGAAAGTAAAAGAAACAGAGCAATGTTGTGTTGATATGAAGTGCTGCTTTGGTTAAAAAAGGTGAAACAGCAAGTGCTAATTAAACCAAACACTGAAACCCTTTTTTAAACTGCCAAATGCCTAGTGATAGCTTGCTGCCTATTGTTCTGTGTTCTGCCAAATGCCTAACATGTTCAGAAAATGGTGAATTTACACCACTAGTTCTTAAGCTTTTTATGCTTCATTATTTGAACTCCAAAATTCAACTTGTGTTCAATTTAATCTCTACCTTCATTAATATTTAAAATGTAAACCGATAAAAGAAAAAGTAGAATTTTGGATAAACAAGCTATATAAACGAGTTTGTTCGTGAACATAAATGAGTCGAACACATCTCTATCTATTCGTGTTTAATGGCAGATGTAAACCATACCTCAGGTGGGCACGTACCCACCCTATAGTCCGAATTCTTTTATTAATTATTCATTTTACTACAAGTGTTCACCTTAAAATTTTATTTGTGCCTACCCAAAACGAAAATTTTCAATAACTGATATGTTACATCGTACTAACCAAAAATCAACTTGTTAATGGGTTATTTTGTAATACATTCGATCAACATTTTGCGTTGACGGCGGAGCCGTTAGATGCCCTTAGGACGGCGGGGACGGTTACAGATAACGGTATACGTTACATCGGATTGGTTAAAAAAAACTTGGAAGCAAAGAAGAGCGAGTTAAACCAACGCGCGCATGGCGACGGCTTGTATTTGTGTCGGAGATACGTCGCTCTCCCGCTGGTTGCTTTTGTTGTTCATGATCCCCTTGAGTGCGCGTGGGTTCCGTTCTGTGGATTGATTTTTTCATCGTGTTCGGCACGCGCTATAGCAGATCGTGAAGAAATTAGGTTCAGTTTCTTTTTTTATTTTTCTGTACGGCGAGGAAGAAAAGCGCTTTACTTCTTTCCCAATAATTTTCTGCCAATTGGCCTAAAAAATACTTCAAATCAAAATGAGTAATTCTTTTGCCTTAAAAAGACTACTTCATACTTGAATATTTGGTTAAATTCGCAAGAGGTCACTTAAATATGCTCAAATATATTTTTCATCATGTAACTTTAAAAATACAAAATTATAATTGAATATAACAAATTATTATCCAATGATCATTGGATTTATCGGAATTTATCATTTCATAGTGACTACTTGATAATAATTTAATAATTATTTTGTAACTTTTTAAAAGTTAAGTGATTAAAAAGATTATATAAGCATAATTTACTATTTACTTCACCATAATCTTTTTTAGAGTCAAGGATAGGCATGAAGTCCTATCAGCGTGGAAAATAAGTCCAATCAAATGAGAAATCTCAGCTCACCACGTCATCTGTGGTACTAACTAATAATATTTTTCCATGTTATTTTTTTTCCAAAGTGAATATTCACCTCTTTCCTACATGTAAATTAGAGGTGGATGGTTATTTGGAAGTTAATTTGAAATTTTGGTTATCATTCATTGAGACCATAGATATCGTGATGAGTCAGGTCCATGAAATAATTTCTCCTAAGCAAATAATAAAAGAGAATAATTAGCTGACCTTATTCCCATATATAATGGGGTAAGGGGGAGGTATGATAGTAGGTTACCCACAACGCCAGGTTAAAAGCAGCTTCCGTGGGAGACCTCCAATTATGAATTGCCCACCATGTAACTCGATCCCACGACCACAAGGTTAAAAACCTTGCGCTCTACCAACTGAGTTGAACATACAATTCAAATAATAAAAAAAATCTTTGAGATTATCACGCAAAATCTAGGAATTTAGACATGAACTTGAAAATAATATTATTAAAAAAGATTCATAACATATATAATTACCAATGATTTTAGTTATTTTTGTTATATAATACTAGACTTGTTGTTGTCGTCCTCTGCATTCTAAAGTTTTACCCTGATTAATCCGGATCAATATGTATCACACTTGATTTTAGTAGATAAGTCTTCTAACGAGGATTTTATGTATACATAAAGACTCGAACATAAAACATTACTTAATCGATACCAAACTGCTTATCACTTGAGCCAAACCCTGTTGATTATGATGATTGGCTTAAGTGCTGTGCACGTTTGTGTATGCAAATGGCAGGGGAAATTATTAATGTGGTTGGCACGACATGATGAATTTGGAAACTGGGTCATTGCTTCAGAATCTTCAACCATATCTTCATTGCTGTTTTTGCTCAACTCACCATGTTAAAATTTTTACATTTCAACCACCAAACATTGGGATCAATTGGTAATTTTATTATTTTACTAGTTTTATTCAACTCGACGAAATCAACATTTATTTAAGTTCTAAAACTTATCATCAAAAGATATTAGTGATTAAAAAAGTCATATGTAAGCATTATCCATGTAAATATTTTTATATATTAATTTATTTTTTAATGTATAATTAAGTTGCTTTTTATTATAATTACAGTAATTGAAGATTATTTAGGTAAATTCAAGCCTTATATATAGCTACATATTGACTCAAATTTTAATATTTACTTAAACTTGATTTTATTATAATTTTAATAGTTGAAGATTGCTTCGTAATTAAGGTTATTTATATAATATTTTTATAAAATAAAGTTTCTTGATGACCAAGTTTGTTTCCCTATAAAATAGAGAATTTATTTATACAAAAACTTAAAGAGTAAAATATATAAAAAATCTAAAATATATGATAATTTTAAATTTTAAAAAATGCGACATCATCCTCGATCCATCCCTGAAATCCCTTGTATATAAAAAGAGACAGGATCGAAACATATTATTTTTCTCATATATAAAAATATATCAGATTTTTGTATTATTATTTTTCTCATATATAAATATAGACAAGATCGAATAATATTAAACTACGTCTCCCATGTATACTTTGTTTTATATTAATCTTGTATTATCATTATTTTTCGTTTATAAATCCTTGATATATTATCCACTAAAATTATCGGTTATTGATCTTTTATTAGTCAATTATTTTAAATTTAAATTAAAATAATTTTAAATAATTACAATTTGGAAAATATATATGATTAAAAGGCTTTAAAATATTTGTTATAAAAATGAATCACAAATCTGTAGAAATAGTAAATTAAAAGGGTTATTTTCTCTTTGCAGAACTGCAGGTACAAGCAAAGCAAAGGTGGGGGCTATTATTATTATTATTATTATTATTGTTATTATTATTATTATTATATTTTCTTTTTGGGTAAATTACAAAATTCATCATTGAACTTTACTATCTTTTATTTCGCTCCAAACTTTAAAATTTTTTTTTATTTTCTCACTGAATTTAATACATTAAATTTTCTTTGTCACTGAATTTTACTCTCTCTCTTATTTTAGTCACTCCTCTGTTAAATAGTGCTAAAGAGATGCCATTTTAAAAAACAAAAAATTTACCAAAACGAAATTGTTTTGTATCTATTTAACAACTCATTTTAACGTCGTTAATTATTTAACGTCCGAGTGACAAAAAACTTAATGTATTAAGTTCAGTGAGAAAATTGAAAAGATTTAAAATATAATAAGTAAAATAAAAATAAAATTCAATTACTTGTAATTTACCCTTTTCCTTTTTTAATGTGTGTGTCGCAGGAGTGAGATTGGAACATAAAAATCAACATGTTAGGGTTGTAACTGTAAGAGACCCTGTAAAGCCTGATGAATTGGAGCCGAGACATGACATTGGAAATGCAAAGGGAGCGGGGAATTCCCATGCCTTCCCTTCACCACCTTTTTCTTCTTGGTAAACTACAATAATGGTCACTAATGTTTGGGTAAATATTCGGTTTCACTATTAATGTTAGAAAAGTTACAAATCGGTCACTAACATTATCGTTGGTTACAAAATAATCACTCGACTTTAACAAGGGTTAACAAATCATTGCTACAGTAACGAAATGTTGATATGGCATGTTAAATCAACTGACTCACTATGTTTGACCGACGGTTTTAACTCCTCTTCTTCTTCCTCCTCCTCCAACATAAAAATATGTGATTTATGTAATCAAAATGGTTTCCATTTAGTTTCTATTTGCTGTTAGAATGAGGTTAGGCCTTTTCGATGGAAATCCTGAGCAACTTCCTTTCAGCAATATAGGAAATCTGCTCTCCCAAGAACCAGATTCTAGCACTTGAAGCTGCTCGTAATGGCATTGTCCTTTTAAAGAACGATGCGAAACTCCTTCCACTTCCGAAATCTATGTCGCTTGCTGTAATAGGTCCTAATGCTGATTCTCCGCAAACACGTATCGGAAACTATGCAGGCCCTCCATGGAAGTCCGTTGCTCCTTTGCAAGCTTTGAAGAGCTACGTTAAGAACACTGTTTATCACCCCTGTTGCAATATGATTTCTTGTTCTACTACTGCAATTGAAAAAGCAGTCGACATTGCAAAACGGGCAGATTATGTTGTGTTGATAATGGGATTAGATCAAACACAAGAAAGAGAGGCGCTTGATCGCATGGATTTGTTTCTTCCCTAGAGGCAACAAGAACTCATTAGCAGCGTTGCAGAGTCTGCAAAAAGACCTGTTGTTTTAGTGCTTCTTTATAGAGGTCCTATTGATGTATCTTTCGCTAAGGATGATCCGAGAATCGGTGGCATTTTGTGGACTGGTTATCCCGGAGAAGGTGGAGGTATTACACTTGCGGAAATAATCTTCGGCGATCACAATCCAGATAACAAACCATTGATTCGATACCATCTCTTGCTAATGAAAATGAAATGTTTGTGACTAATGACGGTTCATTACATGTTATCATGCAGGAGGGAGATTACCCATAACTTGGTATCCACAAGATTTCACCAAAGTACTAAAGACGGACATGAGGCGGCGACCGGAACCATCAACCGACTATCCCGGACGCACATACAGATTCTATAAAGGAGACAAAGTCTTCGAATTCGGTTATGGCCTTAGTTATTCAAAGTATTGGTATACATTCACCCGTGTGTCGCGAAACAATCTTTATTTGAACCATTCTTCAAGTTTACGTGCAAGGGAGACATCCGATTCCGTACGGTACAAGCTATTTTCGGAATTAAGCGCCGAAGTTTGAAGTTAAGCCTTG